GTAGAAACCAGCAGAAACCAGCAGGTTAGCAGCACTCAGGTGGTCTTCATTTCCATTCGGCCAATCACGTCCCTCCTCAGAAAGAGTGGGTGGGGCCAGGAGGCCAGGAGGCCCCGCCCACTCGGCCGTGACTGGGGGGCTGCATGAGGCTCTCGCTGCTGATTGGTCCGTGGAGAGCGGTGCAGGGCGAGTGGGAGGGGCTTAGCTCGCTGCAGCCGACGGTCCACAGACAGGGATACTGACTGAACACAGACGTTTATAATTATAGTCACTATATTTAATTAAATCTATGTTTACCATATAAGGCTGTGGGCGGAGCCTCACCTGGAGCTGTGAGGAGGCTGCGAGGAAGGAGCGCTGCTGGCGAGGGGAAGGGAGGTGGAGGAGGACAAAGAGGAAGAGGAGGAGGAGGCCGGACGAGGGGAGGAGCTGCTCCATCCGTCTGATAACACCTGAACACCTTCAGACAGACACACTGACACAGCCTGTTTATTCACACACTGTCACTTCACCTTTATCTACTTATATTATAATATATATTATATATAAATATATTATATAAACGGAGCAAATAAAAGTATAATTAGTGTCAGTGTTTGTATTTATATTGGTATAATGTTTACATACTTTGTATAAAAGCTTGTGTATATAATAAAAATTAAAGTATATTTATAAATGTATGTCAGTGTCTGTATGTTTACACTGTAAATAAATGTGTTTATATATAATAAAAAATGGAAATGTATTGTAAATATATTTATGTTAATATTTTACATTCATCTCTGAAGAAAACATTATTAATTAATTATTAATAAATGAAATACATCCATAAACTTTATGTATAAATGTAACAGACACACACACACACACACACACCTGAGGAGTGTGAGCGGTGCGGCAGGTAGGCGGTGGGGTAAGGTGTGTGTCGCCCCGGGTAACCGTGGTGCTTGTAACCGTGGTGATGGTGTGATGACAGCGGGAGGCTGCCGCCGTACGGGAAAGCTCCGCCTCCTCCGGCCGAGCACAGCGACCAGCCTGACACACACACACACACACACACACACACACACACAGAATATATCAATTTAACATCAATATAATTGATCATTTATAAATTAAACTGTAGAATAGAACACGATTTTGTTAATAGATTTAATTACAGTAAACAGATGCTACAGTGGTATTATTATTATTATTATTATTATTATTATTCATGTTATTATTATTATTCATGTTATTATTATTATTATTATTATTATTATTATTCATGTTATGAAGAAAGGATGTATTTAAATCTACGGGATGGTTTACAATCAGACAGAAACATCAGTTAGAGTTTGGATTGGGAGAGTTTTCCGTCTGATGCTCGTTATATCTGTAAGATATATTAATAATTAATATATATTAATAATAAGATATATTCATATTTAATATATTTTACAGTTATATTTGTAAGATATATTAATATTTGTGTCCATGTTATTTAACCTGGAGAATATTCTAGTGTTTTTATTTTTAAATACAGAAGTTTTCATTACAATTAAATGAGAAATTTTACAAGAAAACTAAATTATGAATGAAAACAAATTTTGCATTTTGTTCTTTTTAAATATAAATATTTAGTTTATAGTATGTTTAAATAGATAAATATACTTATAAATACACTAATTATAAATATTTTATGATTAATTATATAATACAAAATATACAGACAAATACTACTGTAAAATATATATATATATATATATATATATATAAATATAATACATCCATGGATTAATTATTAATGACACACATAATTTAATTATTAAGAAATATTGTTTACAAAACAACACTATAAATATAGTCTTTTATTGTATTCATATAATAATGTCTTATATTATATTAATGTTAATTACTGTACAGATAAATTCAGTGTGAGGAATAAAAATTAAATATCACTCACAGGGTTGAATCCCAGTGCGACTCTCCAACGACTCCGGTAAGCCCCGTCCGCCTGGGTTCCTGAGGAGGATAAATCAAACACCATCACACCACTGGGTGTGTGTGTGTGTGTGTGTGTGTGTGTGTGTGTGTGGTTTCTGTGTCTCTCTCACTTGACACCGTCGCTCCAAACGAGCGAGACGGTGTCACTCTGAGCAGCTGATAATGACTCTCTAATCACATGCTAATGCTAACTTCCTCTGGTATCCTGGTGAGAAATGCTAAGTGCTAAGTGTCTGCGGACCAACACCGACTGCTTCACACTCAAATACAAATACAGCGTAAAAGTCCCTTTATTGATGATATTGATCAGTATACACTGTATCTTTATGGATGATATTGATCAGTATACGCTGTATCTTTATGGATGATATTGATCAGTATACACTGTATCCTTTACATAATTCGATTCAGTAACACTGTATCTTTATGGATGATATTGATCCAGTATACCACTGTATCTTTATGGATGATATTGAATCCTGTATCGACAGATCCTGTATTGACAGTCAGACTGTGGACATATGACGGCCTTTAGCTCGTGTTTCTAGAGTTACGTGTTGTTACGAACACGTTAGGAATTGTTAAAATGTGATATTTCTTAAAGGGAGTTTGGTGCAGTGTTAGTGTTTGATTAGTGCTTTAATAATGGGAGTATTGATTACTGATGCTGCCTGATCAGGATCATGTTTGTGTGCCTGTTTTTTAAATTACTTTTCCCAATTAAACAAGGTGTGTTTGTTATTAATGAGTCCAGTTGTGTTGCATTAGTGAGTTAACTTCCTGTGTGTGTGTGTGTGTGTGTGTCTGCAGGTGGTGGGCGTGTCTGCAGTAACAGGAAGCGGGTTGGACGAGCTGTTTGTTCAGGTGGAGGAGGCCGCAGACGAGTACGAGAGGTGAGTTAGAAACACTGTTTTCCTACAGCTGCGTATTGTTGGACATTAGTGGCCAAATAACATGAAGTCTTACCAATTACAATCAATCGATCAATATCATCAGATTATTAATGTCCCAGTAGTTGTAGAGTATGGTCTTTCAGAATAAAGCTTTAATAAGAGCTTTATAAAGACTAATAACGAGTCAATATGCTGCTAATGTAAATGCTAATAAACAACTAGCTCATAGCACCTTAATGTAAAGTGTTGTATCTGCTCATGGATGTAACAGCTTTAACTCCTCCTCCTCCTCCTCCTCCTCCTCTTCCTCAGGGACTACCGACCTGAATATGAGAGACTCCGCAAACAGCTGGTGAGTGTGTTTGTGTGTTTGTGCGTGTTTGTGCGTGTTTTCTAACCGTCCATCCTCACACGTCTCCACGCTTTAACCCACTTCCTGTCCGTCAGGCGGAGGCTCAGAGCCAGAAGCAGCAGCAGCAGCTGGAGCGGCTGAGGAAGGACCTGGGAGCCGTCCACATGACGAACACGCCTCCTACAGGTAGTGCGACTGATAGGGGACAGAAAACTGTAGCAGAGGGAAATAAAGTCTGTCTCTCAGTTTAACTCTGAAAAAGGTTGAAACCAATAATAAATGTTAGATGTGTAAATAATGTTATTGTCAGTGTCTGACAGCTCCCTCCAGAGTTAGACCTTTAGTTTAATCACTCACACCAGACTCAGTAGATAAAAGTGTTCATTTTAGCTCACAGATCATCATAACTTCATTCAAAGTGGACAGAAATCAAACCGGCTCTTTCCACCAATCACCAACTCTGGTTTGGTGGAAATAAATCCTTCACTGATAAAAACGGGTGGTGGGGATTTTATTATTACTGTTGTTTTATTGTTGAATGTTGCTCATTGACTTCCTGTCCACAGAGGACGTGGACATCGCCGGACCCAGTGACCTCATCATGAACCGCGGTAACCCTGACGAGGAGGAGGAAGAGGAGGACAGCGACACAGACGACATCGACCACAGCGGTGAGCAGAGAAACCCCAAGCGCCCGTTCCTACACTGTAAACAACTAAATGACAAAATAATATTGATGTTTGTTTGTTTGTTTGTTTGTTTGTTTGTTTTCCAGCCACGGAGGAGAGCAAAGAGGCCGACGCCTTCGGAAACTTCCTGACCGAGAGGAAGGAAGTGGTTCAGGTCCGAAACAAAAAGTGTGCGATGCCTGAGGGACTCTGACCTCTGACCTCTGACCTCTGACTGTGCCTGTAAGAAAAGAACGACACAATGACGGCGAGGGAAATGAGGAACCTCCTGAAGGTTCAGACTATCACCTGGACCAGATACCGTTCAGCAGATTCTCCCTCAGATCTGAACTCTTTGGGCGGAACTTCCTGTCTGACGGGCTGACCTCTGACCCCGTGACCTCGCTCGGCTTCGCTCCTTCCCTAAAAAGAAAAAGTTCTATTTTTATATCAGAAAAGACTCTAATGTTCTGCTTTTGTTGTGTTTTTCTTTACGGTTGACTTTTATTTGTGTAAGCACTGAAAGGATTTCTGACCTTCAAAATAAAAGTGAGCTCTTAGTTCAGAGTTGGTTTTAATTTCGACTTGTGACATTTTCCACCACTTTGTTCTACCATGGAGCTGTTCTTCAGTGCTAACGTAGCCTCGTGCTAACGTAGCCTCGTGCTACATTTTATAGTATGTGTAACGAGAGAAAAGGTCCGAGTTGCAACAATCCTCGGACTGTGTGGTCCTGGTGACAGTTGGAGGTTTTGTTTTTCTGCGACTGTCAGACTGATGAAGAGTCCACTGAGACTCTTCGCTGTTCTCTGTTATGTACAGACACACATCGTTCACTCAGTAACATCATTAACTGACCAAAGTAAGCCACAGATCTCTCCTATAGTTTTTATTGTTTGATGTAGAGCTCCACGATTAAAGTCAATATGCAAATCACAGAAGCTGCAGTTAGTTTGAAGGTAAAATGAGACAAACAGTTATAATGAAATATTGTGCAGAGATTCCCTGACTGAATCTGGTTCTCCAGATTGAAGAAAACAAGTTTGTTAAGTAAAGACCTAAAAAATGTCACCTCATTATGATTTTAATAGTTAATAATAATAACTGATTACAGGTTGTATCTCAGTATCTGTAAAACAGGTTGGATGTGCAGCTGCTTCTATACAGCAGCTCTGCAGTTTGAAGACTTATTGATCTCAGTATTGTGTTATCACTGGTAGAAACAGTGGACAGAATAATGGAAACAGCTGTCAGTATGAGAGACAGGGAATCAAACCCTCTCTCTGTTTATTGAATGTGTTGTGATGCTTTGTTCTGGGCTGTGTCTGATGGATCAGTGTGATTGATCCGTGTTGTTGGGCTGTCTCTGCTGACAGGAGCTGTGTTTGTTGGAGCTCTTTGTCTTCATTCATGTCTGAGCGGTGTGAATGGATCCTCCGCCTGCCGACCATCTGCCAGCTCTCTCCAGCCCGCGCTCTTCTCTCGCCCACACGCTCGCTGAAATCCGGCAGCGTGGTCGGGCTGAAGAGCGGCTGACTCACCCTCCGCTCGCCTCTTCCAACAAACGAGGACATTTACTCCAGCGCACATACGAGGAGTTTCTTTTCCTCATGCAACTTTCTGCTTGTGATGGATCCGACAGTGGATCAATGGAGGACAAAGAGTTCTACAGTAAAATCCTGTTTCACATGAACACACTGATGGTATGAAATATAATACAACAGTTTCATACTTAACTGCAGTTTATTATACACACACACTGTTGCTTCTGAGATAAGATGATTCTTTATTAATCCCCGTAGGAGAAATTCAACCAGACAGCAGCACAGAGAGTAGTGCAAAGAGTACAATAAAGAATCACAAGATAAGAATATTATAAGATATAAGACATAAATATATTACATTATGTGCAATATGCAGGAAAAGGGTGTGCAATATATTTTGAGCAGAGTATGAAACTAAACTGTACTAATGTGCAATTTAAAGATTTAAATTAAATAGTTTGTGCATCGTAGGTTGAAAGTTAAACTAGTCTTAATCAGTGGAGGG